GCGATATGGGTCTGCCTTCAAACTCTGTATTTTTTACCCCCAGTTCGCGATCCGTTATTCGTGGATCGATCTGGATCAGCTGCTGAACTCTATGGGGTTTGACCTCCAAATCGTGATCTGGTAGTCGTGGATCGCGATCTGGCCATTACTTTAACTGCAAACACTTTTTTATCATTTTTCAACTCTAATTTGACAAAAATGCATTGCACCAAATTATTGTCGTGACAATTGGCTTTCAAACTCCTCTTGAATAAACTCAATCGAAGGTCGTTTGGGGGAGTTATGCTCGAACGACCAATCACTACCACAGTCCGCTAGAATGCAGTTTTGCACGTGTTTGGCTTGGTTCTCGACTTCGCTTCCAAAATCGTTTCGAATTGACAAAAAATTGCTGCTCTTTATCTAAAACTGAAATAAAACAAATAAAGCATAATATATACAAATAAAGCCGAAAAGTAGGACGAACGAAGACCTAAGCTCAAACATTCGAAAAGTAAAAATCGTTCAAAACGAACACTTATCACGCCCTTAAACTTAGATCACTACTCGTCCACAATAAATAAAACAAACTTACAACCCTAAAAGAAAAAAATGACATAAGCAATAGCTTAACCTAGGCTAGAATCACGATTGCATTTAGCGTATGCAACAAGCCTTTAGCCCCTAGGTACCTCTAAAGAACGAGTTGTATCTCGTGAGGGATTTCAAACAATACATCCCCAAAGTTGTCGGATTTCGCAAAGAATTGCATTTAATTCCAATGATAAACCGAGCTAGATAACATAAAATCTAAGAATAGCATGTGGCTTAATATACTCGAATTCCCAACCGACAAAATTTAGTTGTTGCTACACCAAAATCTAAATAACCTTTAAAATCTGTAATCAAACATAAAGCATCATCATCTAGGGTTCTAAGAAGAAATTTCAACATAAATAGAGTTTCGATTATGAAATTCATACAAAAAAAAAAAAAATTCGGTACTTTTCTTTCTATTTATTCAACAACAACAACAACAACAATGTTTTTGGTGATTTTTGTAATAACCCTTAAATTAAGTACATGTTATGCTATTTAATACATGGTACTATAATCATATGTGTATGTGTAAATATGTATATTGTTGAAGTTTATTAATTATTTAAGAATAAATAATTTAATTTAAGGGGGTTGATGTGTATTAGGCAAGGTTGTAAAAAACTTTAATCTCGTCGGAGGCGGTCAGGCACCGACTCACGATTAATCGGTGTCGTGGTGATTAATTGAAAATAAATCGATTTAGAATTTAATATAATATATTTCTAGATACTATTTATAAATACTCAAAACATATATAAAAATATATTTAAGCATAGTTATATCTCCATCATGTATATATCCTAATAACTTGATAAAAGTTTAATAATAATAAGATCATAATACATAAATATCCTTATAAAATATAAATAAGAAGACATTTTTTTTGAATTTAATTCATTTTAAAACATTGATGGCATACATCATTTAGTTCTTTAACAATAACATACAACATAAACAAAATAAAGCATAAACTAATATTTTTTTAATTATTAAAATTCTAACTTTTATTTTCAATTACTAAAAACAAAAAACGATTTTTGACCCATTTTTGGCCACCGAAGTTTGACCCGTCTTACAGGTTTGACCGCCTCAGATCGCCTCGGACCGCCTAAAACCGTCACACAGGCAAAAAACTGATTTTTCAAATCTTTACACTAAAATCGTACAAGTTTGGGACCGCCTGAGCCGATTTTTAGAACACTGGTATTAGGAGATAAAATTGGGCAAATAGTAAATTCCATATATTATAAACTTCGGGAGGAAGAATCTGACGTGGGGTGGTTTAAACGGATAATTGAGAATGAGAATGTGATTAATCAGCAAATTAGAGAGAGAGAGAGTCACGTAGAGTTGGATGAGTCAGACATTCTCCTCCCTATCACGATAAATACCTCATCGTCCCGTCTCTAATTCTTTATCACTCTCATTCTTAACACAAATCAAACCTCTCTTCCATAAAATCATTAGCATTAACCACGGAAAATTCTTATTAAAGATATATTGTGAACCGAATGAGAAATCAAGAATAGTAGAAGTGGGCTAGGGTTCAACCAACAAAAAAAAGAAAGGATGGTGACTTGACGGTCTTCCCGACAGAGTTCTAGTGAGCTGGGTATAGCGTTAGAAAGCCCGATGTAGAAACTTCAATTTGGTTGAAATTTATATCCGTTTGATTTGGTGACAGTTGTTCGGTTTTGTCAAGATAGTGAGCCTACTACTAATTTCATAATCAGATTTGAGGTATGTTAACTTCGACTTTCAATTTTAATTATTCATAAAAGTATTAGAATAGGCTGAATATTGTAGGAATGACTACATTTTGCACAATTTTAGAAACCTTTTTGAAATTGATTTTTGACTCTACAATATCTTTAAAAGGGATTTTTCAAAAATGAAACTTGTTGTTACTCTGGTTTTCGGGACACGGTTTGGGAACTTTGGCATTCGAATTTTAAGATCATTTCTTCTCAAACATCATGGATTATCTGGAACATGTTAATTATATGTTGAAGCTTGTTCCATTTGATTGAGCCTCATAAGCTTTTTGAACCGAGAAACAGAGTGGGTTCAATCTTTCAAATTTTGGCAGTTCATATAACTTATGTTTCGATGTTGTTTCCTATGTATATGAGTTATAATTTGAGGTTAGTGTCTTTTGTTCAGTTGTAGATGAAGACGTTAAGTCCTTTTAGGACGCCTCAAGGACAATGTATATTGATGGGCCCGGGGCTGTTTGGAGATGACCGTTAGACGGTATCGGGCCAATGATGGGTAGTCTCTCCAACAAGACCCACTTAGGTTTAGACCCGTACACAACTAGAGGTTATTTAGGTTTCGGGCAAAACTGGTATGTGCCCGGGCATACCACATTGCATTACATGGTCATTCTCTGCTAGGTCAATAAGGTAGTAAACGGCTACGGGAGTCACAAGGTAAGTGTATTATTATCTCTGTAAATCGAAAAATCTATTGATTATTCTTACTATTATTCTTGAATCTCCAATCGAAATATAATTTTTATTTCAGAAATCTAAAATCAAAGTATAATACTTCTATTTTCCGATATCTGCTAATGGTTCGATCATCGAACTTTCTCTTAGATCATGTTATAACTCATTATTCTTATGTTTCACATCACTAAGTCTCCTATGATTATCCCTCTACTTTATTCTCTCATATTCCCATACACAGGTGCATGCTTGAATGAATCAGAGGATTTCCTGTGCGAGTAGGTATCTTATTTAAATTTGTAAAATAGTGGTTTTGAATTATGTTCCCAATAATCGCTGCATGTATTATAAATATTAGCGGTTGCACTTATTCATATTATTAATATTGTAATATTCTAAAATAGAAATAAATGTTATAACAGTAATAGTTCTGAACCTTTGTATCATACCTTGTTATAAGTAAGGTTGTTAATAAATAAAGCGTACGTACTTTTCTGAGTTATAGATTGACTAGTATTAAAAAAAAAGGACAGTTATTTCAATATTATAGTTTTACAAACGCTTCACATAGAAGGCGGACGTCACATGTGGTATCAGAGCTTAGGGTTTAGGCTCTCCGACATTTCGAGTTTAGCTAGTCTAGATGCCTTTTGGAAGATGGAGTTGTACCCTATTCTATGTAAATCACGGTATGCGTTACTTGTTCAGTATATACTCGTGAGTATCTTTGGCTATCGCAAGAAGACCCTGAGGAGGATCCCGATGAAGATTCAGAAGAGGATCCCGTGGTCCCTGCAGCTGGAATAGACGAGGATGTAGGAAAGGCAGCTGAAAAGAATATGAAGGGAGAACCAAAGGAAGCCGTAGGAGAGAATCCGGATTTGCTTTTGGTTAACAAGGACGCTGATGGTTTTATGCCTAAAATAGAAGTCGAGGTGGATAACGCAATTGACGTTATGAATGAAATAGTATTCAATGACCAATGTGAAGATGAATTCGATGTCGATCCAGACATGATCCACCTATTAAGGGTTAAGCAGATGATGATGAACCTAGATCCGATGACACCTCTGTTGAGTCCGACGGCGGTTGAGTTAGGCCGCGAAGTCTTTTGATAAGCCGTCCCAATTTTTGCTTATGAGATCGGCTATTTTTTCTAGTACATACACATTCGGTGTTCTCTTTTGCATAGTAAGAACACTTATAGAAATGTATAGCTATAGTTACATGCCTCAGTATAGGCTCTTTTGTTTGATGTGACGTAGATAGTAGAAATGATGCATAGTAAACCCATTGACTTTTGTAAATCCAACTTATATTCTAGTGTGTGTGTGTATACAATAATTATTAGTTATTATTTTTTTTTCTTGGTTATGCTACGTATTCATAATTATATAGTTGATTAAAGATAAGTTAGCATACTTGCATTATTGACATTAAGATCGTTAGCCCTAATAAAGAATTCATACGTGTATACCCTGACTTAGAATGTCTTCTCTGGGAAAACTTTCGGAAAACCTCACTCAACCTTGTTCACTTGCATCATCCCCAAATCACCATCCAAGTTCATCACATATCCTTGATGACGATGAAACAATGATGGAGCCAAATAATATTACAATTCATGAGGCAACAAAAACGCCACAAGTTCCTCGAGAAGCAACAACTCCAGATGTACAATCCATGTTGTCTATGTGGCAACAATTTATGCAATTTAGTCAGCAACCCTCATAGATAGGAGTACCACTTACCGAACATTCCATACCAATGGAGGACCAAAGGCTTGATAGGTTTCTAATATTTCGACCACCAAAATTCCTAGGCGAGCCCAATGATTGCAAGTTGGAAAATTGAATTAATGAGTTGGACAATATGTTTAAGGTCACACACTACTCCAACTCTCAAAAGGTTAGTTATGCAGCTTTCCAACTAGAAGAAACTGCACGTCATTGGTGACGTGTAGTGAAATAGATGTGGGCTCAAAACAACACTGCTCGAACTTGGGCTAATTTCGTCCACAAAGTTGATGAGAATTTTATACCACAATCAGTGAAAAATGTTAGAGAAAGAGATTTTATGAATCTTACTCAAGGCACAATGGCGGTGGCCCGATATGAAGCTCGTTTCAACTATCTAATTTGCTATGCTCCACATTATATGAACGATAAAACTCGTAAGGTACGCAAGTTTGTGGAAGGACTAAACTTAGAACTTCGTTTGGCTATAATTTCATCGGATGCAACAAGTTATAGCACGACAATTAATAATGCGATGCGTGTCGAGTTGAAAATGCGAGAGTTGATTCAAGTCGAAGAGCAAGCGAAGATAACTAAATTTACCACCTTGAGAGGAAACCCAAGTCAAAATTCCTTTTCAGGTCCAAAATACCCGAGATCGAGTCAAGGACGTTTTGCAAATCGTAATCCAATGCCAAATCGGGGCAGCACTCCCCCTCATCCAGCGATGCAAATGAAGTGTGGATTTTGAGGACTTTCCAATCATGAGAAGAATGATTGTCTAAGGAAGAAGAGATTGTGCATTCTTTGTGGAAGTGTTGATCATATTGCACGTGATTATCAAATCAGGCGGGATCCTTACCTATCACAAGGGCGAAAAGGAAAGGCTCCAATGGAGAAACAAAGCAAGCCTAAAATCCATGCCCATGCTTACGCACTTGCTAGGATGGACGTGACTCGGGCCAAAAGCCGTTGTAGAAGGTAATGTCCGTCTGCTTGGTAAATGCGGTAAAGATTTATTTGATCCCGGAGCAACTCATTCATTTATCGCATCTTCTTTCGCGAATGATTTTATATTAGAAGGCTAACAATTACCTTATAATTTTGAGGTAAGCACTCTAATGGGCTCAATCATACTTACTAACATAGTATGTAGAGCTTGTTCTATCGAATTACAAGGTAAAGAATACATCGTAGATCTTATACAACTTCGAATCATAGGTTATGATCTCATCACCATGCCCAATTAGGCTGCTTTGGAAAGAGAATTAAACTTCTGACGAATAAAGTATTGGAGGTTGAAACATCCAAAGGTGATCAACTAGCTATATCTTTAATATCATGTACGGTAGCTAGAAGAATTATGAAAGGAGGAGGAGAAATATTTATGGTATACTTTATCAACAACCCACAGGAAAAAAACAGATTAGAAGAAATACTCGTGGTTCGGACTTTCTGAAGTATTTCTAGAAGAATTAGATTCATTTCCACCAAAGAGAGATCAAATTTGTGATTGAGATGCTTCCAGGAGCAACACCGGTGTTTCGGATACCGTACATGATGGCTGCAATTGAGCTTAAGGAATTAAAGAAACAATTGCAACAACTGTTGGATAGGGGTTTCATTTTTCCAAGTGAATCTCCATGGGGAGACCCTATACTATTTATGAAGAAAACGGACGGAACACTCCGGATGAGCATCGATTACCGTGGGCTAAATAGTGTCGCGATTAAGAACAAATACCATTTACCCCACATTGACGAATCATTTGATATCTTATAAGGTTCAGGGGTGTATGCCAAATTAGATTTAAGGAAAGGGTATTATTAATTAGGAGTTCAAGAAGAAGATATTCCAAATGCGGTATTCAACTCAAGATATGGACATTTTGAGTTTGTTGGCATGGACATTTTGAGTTTGTTGGCATGCCCTTTGGGCTGACAAATACCCCGGCGCTATTTATGGATATGATGCACTGGGTATTCCGACCTTGGTTGGATCAGCTCGTTGTGATTTTCATATATGATATACTGGTGTACTTAAAATTTGAGATAGAGCATGCCCAACATTTAAGGGTTGTACTAGAGACTCTCAAGGAAAACAAACTATACGCGTAATTTGCTAAATGCGAATTTTGGCTAAGTGAAATCTTATTTTTAGGGCATGAATGTGGTGTCTAAAGATGGGATTAAGGTTGATCGATCAAGAATCGAAGCAATAGTAAACTGGAATAGACCAGAAAATGCTACTGAACTTCGAAGCTTCTTGGGTTTTGCGGTCTACTATAAAAGATTTGTCAAGGATTTCTCTAAAATAGGAACGCCTTAAACCAAATTAACATAAAAGAGGGACAATTTGAGTGGAAGGAGAAGTGTGAAGCCAGCTTTCAAGGATTGAAGAAAATGCTGACTACAACACCTGTGTTGGCATTACCAGAAGGCACATCAGAATATAAAATTTATACTAATGTATCGAATGAAGGATTAGGTGGGGTATTAATACAAAATGGAGATGTTATTATCCCACTCATGATTTAGAATTAGGAGCCATTGTATTTGCGTTAGCCAAATAGAGACACTACCTTTATAGTATGAGATTTGAGGTTTTTACCGAACACAAGAGTCTAAAATATTTATTTACTCAAAAGGATCTCCATATGAGATAGAGAAGGTGGATAAAGTTTCTCGAAGATTATGACTGTGATATCACATATCACCACGGGACTTTAAAAGGATTCATCCTCGAATCCGGAAAAATATAAAAAGGAGCATATAGATGTTAGAGTAGGTGACCAACAAGCCAACATGTGGCTGTGGTCTTTCGTATTTATTATTGTAATAAACGAACCTTTATTCGTATTAATGATAAAACACCTTGGCATTCTATATCTTTGTCCCTTTGTCACAAGCATAGATATAGTCCTTACAGTTATTACAAGTACTAGTAATTGATCGTTAGGATCGTGAGATATTTACTTAAGTATTATAACTGTTAAACGTGTTCCTAGTCGAAGGGTTACGCCACTAATGAGGATATCGGCCTTTCCCATTAAGACTAGCACTTAGTGTATGTGTACTGCATCTCATCAGTAAACGGTATTGTGATATCGGCATGCATAAGTGGGTGCTCGTAAGTTGACGAGTTCACTGAACTCCCTCACCCTAGAAATCTCTAAGTGGTTCCCAATAATCGAGTAGAGATATCTATGGTATAGTTGTACACCATTAGTCCTTATGACCTAGACATCACCGTGACTTCACTAGAGGACCAGCTGTATCGTGACCTGTCCCTGAGTTCCACCGAGGACCATCCCAAGGGCCAGTGTTCGTGCAGTCCGAAATCTAGTGGGAGGTCTGTGCATTGTAGTCGGGGATTCGATCGCTAGAATAGTCTTGGATGTCCTGTGTGTTCTGAAAGTTTGTAATCATTCTAAGTCTCTGGTCAGAGCTGACTAAGTGATGATTAGAGAATTCGATTCTCTAAGTCATGCACGTAAGGATTACAACACTTAGAACGATCGCACCGTCATCGAACATATAAAGAGGTCTCGATGAACCAATGCCTCTAGTTCGATCGGGACATATGAATCGAAGGGACCGTACTGTACGTTAACTATATCTGAAGGTTCTTGCAGGCACTTCATTTGTATCTAGGGAATCATGACGCGTAGTTGCTAGACGCCAATCTTGATTCGTTGGGTGATTAAGGTGAAACGAGTTTCATCTTAATCGTAACTCTAAGGGGACGAGTTTTGACCACAAAGGGTTGTGGGCCCACGGCTAGCTTACACCTGAACCATCGAGGGTCACACTGCTCGTGCACATGAGATTTTTGAATGAACGGTCAAAGGTAAAAATGTTTTAACTTTGCATGATTGGAAGTCAATATGATTGGTCCAACATTCGTAATTTGGAATTATGAATGAGAATAAGAAAAGGAAAAGAATAGGCGAAAGTTGTAGTGAACTTTCTAAATCGGGAAGTTTCCAAATTTAGAAAGTGCACTGAACTAGGGTTTCCACTTTTGGAAAGTTGGAAAATGAAAGATGGCACTCGTAATGACGAGGACATTATAATGAATCCGAATATGTAATTGTTACAATTTTCCGATCATTGAATTGAGAGAGACGAGCAAGTAAAGGAACTAACGAGCTTAAGCTGTTGGGCCCGGTCCAACTTAAGCCCGTTAGGGTTTTATGCAAGGGACTATAAATACTTGATTTATAGGCCTTGCACACACACAACAAACCCTAACCCTAGCGGCCGTCCACCTCTCTCTCTCAGCCACTCTCCCCGCGGCCACCACCGCGCCGTCGCCGCTCATCCGTCGCCGGAATCGGCCATCTATTGGCCGATCCCTTTCGGTACTTTTTTCTTCTTTCTTTTTCTTCCGTTAATTCTAACTATTACGTGTCTAGTGCCACGTGTTTAGTAGATCGAAGTATACGAGGTGAAATCCGAGAGGAGGAAGATCGAAGATCGAGGAATCGAAGAGCAGCGCACGAGCCGAAGCCGCACGCTGCCCCACGCGCCGCCCCGGAAGACCGCGCGTGTACCTCACGCGCCGCCGTGGCTGACTCGCCGCTGCTGCTCCTGCACCGCTGCTGCCCCGATTGTACGGATTGGTTTCCGTAGCAATCTCAACTTGCTAAACGCTTCTACCTCACGCTTCAAGAGGTAAATACACGAAACCCTAGTTTCGATTCGTCTGCGTTTAAACTATGAATTCATGTTTGCTATCATATGATTTTATGTGATTATGTGTAATCGTTTTAATTGTTGCAAGCATGTTATTTGGTTTAAACGCGAGCATGTTAATTGATTTAAAATTCGGTTAAATTATTTAGCATGTATGTTGTTTTAATTTCGCTGGAAGCGCAAAGGTACGCAATTAATTGATTTAATTTATCGGGCGTGTGCTTATGTGCTTTAAAGTCGTTTAAATCGCATAAAACTTTTGTTTTCCGCTGCGTACACGTGCCTGAAACCCAGCAATAGAAACCATATTTCATGATCATGTTCAAACAATTGTAGCTCATATGTTCTAGAATACTCCAAACTTAATACACTCAACTTTCCCACCGGAGTATAGCTAGTCACATTAGTACAACTAACTCCATCAATAATTAAACTCGAATATACACCTTCATCGCACTGTGTAGGAACAAGACAATCTTCGTGTATTGCATCACCAACTTCATTAGCATGCACAATTGGAGTTTGTACTCCGGTTAGTTCAGCAGTAACTTCGATGCATGGCTGGATCATATCATTCTCCACCTCTTCAAAAGGATTCGCCCTCGAATCCGAACCTTCTTTTTCTTTAATTGGTGGCGTGGATTTGCAATTTTCTCTCCCCTTGGACTCGACCTCAATATTCTCACTTACTTCTTCCTCAACTAGCACATCAATAACTCCCAAATCTGTTTGAGTGTTCTCTTTCTCAAAATCTTGACGAGTATCTTCCTTCTCAAGTGGCGATAAAGAAACACCCTTTCTCTTCAATTCCTCGTAGTCACCTTTGTCTCGTAGAATTTCTTCTGCTTTGGTCTTTTGTAACGATTCTCTCACTTTGCTCGCTGGAGAACTCCATTGCGATTCCCAACTTGGCGAACTCCGTTCTTCTATCATAGTAGCTTGCCTCAACCTTTGAAATTGTGAGTCCCTATAATATTTGTGAAGGAACGAACCTCTTTCTCATAACAGCCTTCATAGACTCCCAATCATCAATTGGTGGTTCGCCACAACGGCGCCTAGTTAAGACAAATTGGTCCCACCAACTAATTGCATAGTCAATGAACGCTTCACCGGCGAGCTTCACTTTCTTCTTTTCGGAATAGTAATCACAATCGAAACGTGCTCCACCTTTCTTTCCCATTGAATGTACGCCTCAGGATAACTCTTACCTTGAAAAGATGGTATAGTCAATTTCATTGAGCTAAGGTTTCGATCTGTGCCATATCTTTCTCGATTAAAGTATCCTTGACTCGATCTATCCCATCCAGACCCTCGTCCCATACTCTCCCTCCTTGATGTGCAAGGGATCACACCAAAACTTCTATCAAAATAAACCTCTTTATCACGGTGAGGTACAACCGGTTGATGAACATCACATCGTACGTATGGCCCTCGAACATGTTGATCTTTGTGTGGTTCATATATGTGGGCTTCAAGTCCTTCCAATCGATCGTGGATTCCATCAAGTGCTTTAAATAAGGGTTCGAAGCGTTTCTCCATTGCCGACATCCTACGGTGCTCAACTCTTTCTCCTTTATAACCGGCGTTCTCGGACATGATCAAAACAATATATATAGTTTTTTTTTTTTTTTTTACACTAACAAACCCCTAACTTGGGCAGGAAGGTAATCTTAACAAAAATAAAATTCGATTTTTTTTTTTTTTAATTTTAAGGACTCTAGACAAAACCTAACTTAGACTCTAAGAAGCACAAAACAACAAACAAAATTTTGAATTTTTTTTTTTTTTTTTTTTTTTTCTTTTATTATAATATTTTTTTTTTGGTTTATGGACTCTAAATAAACAAAACAAAAGACTAGAAGACTCAACAACAATAGACACTGAACAAAAAGCAAAACGAAGACACGAAAAAAGGACTGACTCAACAAAAGATAACGGATAGGCGAAACCTTCTTAGGAAGATGGCTCTGACTACCAAATGATACAAACCTCGCCAACAATGTGACGAGACCCGATATCAATATTTCGGATATCAAAATCCCGGACCGTCCTAAAGAAGGAATCAAAAGGGTGTATGCGAAGACGCCACAATTGATTGCGAAAGTTTGATTGATAAGTCGGGGTGAACAAACGGAATCCACCGATATGTTCGAACAGTTCTTAAAGAACCAAATGAGAATATTCTCAATTAAATCATCAAAATTCGTCCTCCTAATATGCCAAATTGGCAGCCTATTTATAAGTGCTAAAAAGACTCATTTTTCATAAGGAAAAGGACTCCTACCTAAACTATAATAAAGAAACTAATAAATAAACAAATCATAATCATAAAGAACTATAAACTAATAATAATATAATAAATACTAAATTAAAAACGTGCATAAATAAATTAGATAGCTTGATCTTCAAGTCGGCCTCTCGGTCACCCTTCTAATCTCGCGTACACAATTGGCTGTGCACGTGCATGAACTTTGTGCTCATTTACGACACCGTTACACTTCGAATTTCTCTGCTCTCAAAATATGAAAGTTGTATAACTTTCAGTTGGCTTTCCATAACAATTTGAATCACCTAAATTGGACTTCATATGAGAGAGTTATAAGCCTAATGGTAAACTCTGCCAGAATCATAGGGGACTTTCGGGATGCTTGAAATTCGACTTGTCCAACGAATTTCCGTTTTCTTTTCTTCCAATTCCAAACCAAGGACTCTTCAATGATCTGATCCAAGCATATAGTCTTTAATTCCAACCCAAATAAACTCGTTAAGCTTGTACGCTTTCGCTTATTCCAATTCTTCAACTTGGAGCATTTGAGGATCGTATCAGAAATGGGACCAAATCACCATGGATTTTGTAACAGGTTTTCTGACGATGCGTGGAGGTCATGATAGTATTTGGGTAATTGTTGATAACTTACGAAATCTGCTCATTTTCTGCCAGTAGGCACATAATATAGGGTTGAAACTTTGGTTGAGCTATATAAGAAGAAAATCGTTCGATTGCACGAAATTCCTTTTAGTATAGTATCCGATAGAGATCCCAAATTCTGTCAAGGTTATGGAAACAGTTACAGGAAAACTTGGGGACAAAACTTCAATTTAGTACTGCTGCACATCCTCAAACAGATGAACAATCTGAGAGAACGATCGGATTTTTGGAAGACATGTTGAGAGCCTGTGTGATGGATTATGGAGAAAGCTAGGAAAAACATCTATCGTTGATCGAATTCGCGTACAACAAAAATTACCATGCGACCATACAAATGGCACCATATGAGGCGATATATGGCAGAAAATGTCGTTCTCCCTTGCATTGGGAACTCGATGAATGGAGGGAAACTAAAGACAATCGAGATAGAGAGCTAAGGCCTGAACTAATACAATATGCTATTTATAAGGTGCATATCATCAAGCGACAAATGAAAGCCGCACAAGATCGCCAAAAGAGTTATGCCGACGGGCGTAGAAAGGACATCGAGTTTGAAGTTGGCATTATGCTGTTTCTCAAAGTTTTGCCGAAAGAAGGATTCAAGCATATAAAAAAAGAAGGGAAGCTTAATCCACGTTATGTAGGACCTTTTAAAATTAATGAGTGTATAGGTCGTGTAGCCTAGAGGTTAATCCTTCCACCTAATATTACCAATATTCACGATATATTTCAGGTGCCTCAATTGAGGAAATACTATCCTAATCCATCTCACTGGATTTCTCATGAAGGACTCCAACTCGAAGGTAAGAGCATCTCCAATGGAGAGGGGGGGTTTGCCCCTCCCCTCCCCCTCCCCTACCCCTCCCCTTCCCCCTCCCTCTACCTACGTCGTTTCCAACCGTTCGGTCTTTTATTATTTTTTTTCCAATTCTCACTCTCACTATAATAATAATAATAATAATAAAAACAATAATAATAATATTTTTATTATTAATATTAGTATTAATAACTAATAATTATTATTACTAATAATAATTAATAATAAAAATAATGATAATAAATAATAATAATAATTTAATTATAATAATACAATTATGTTGTTAGTTCAAATTTATAATAAAAAGTACAATAATCGTATTTGTTGTTTTTTTCTAATTTTTACAATTATAAAAAAAAAATATTAAAAATTAAATAAAATAAAACTAAATAAAGAAACAAAATAAAATAATAATAATAAAAAAATTACGAATAAAGATATAATTCAAAAGGAAATAATAAAATAAAAGAAAAATAAATGAAAACAAAAATATTAAAAGTCTTTATTTACAAATTAAGTGTTTGATTTATTGAAATCATGTGATATTAAATTATGTAACTAAATAATTGAAATAAAATAAAATAATGTTATAATATAAAAAATAAATACAAAAGAAAAGGAAAATAAAAATATATAAAATTAACAAGTAAAAAAGAAAAAAGGAAAGAAAACAAAAAACAAAAATTAACTTATATAACAAATAAAAAAAGAAAAAAGAAAAGAAAAGAAAAGAAAAGAAAAAGAAAAAAAAAAAGAAAAAAAAGAGGCGTGTGTGATACACGCCCCCTTCCAGCACGTGAGTTGGAAGGGGGCAGCTCAAGGGTTTTCTCCCTCCCCCTCTGCCCACCCCTACCCACCCCAGACCCACACCCCCTTGACCTACCTCCATTGGAGGTGGTTTTACCACCCCACCCCTACCCATAGCCATCTCCATTGGAGATGGTCTAACATGTCATATGAAGAACAACCAATTCATTCATTGATAAAAAATTCCATGAGTTACGAAATCGAAAGATTCTGTTGGTAAAAGTGTTGTGGATAAATCATGATGTAGAAGAGGCCACATGGGAACAAAAAGAGAAGATGCGAAATCACTACACATAATTTTTTTACACAAGTAATTATATTAAAGATATGTAAATTGAAGAATCAGATTTGTTTAACAGCGGGACTGTTAAATTTAGTATATGTTATAATAATAATAATAATAATAATAATAATAATAATAATAATAATAATAATAATAATAATAATAATAATAATAATAATCATAATAATAATAATTAATATGTGTAAATACGTATATTATTGAAGTGTATTGATTATTTAAGAGTAAATAGTGTAATTTAAAGGGCTGGTGTGGTATTAGGAGATACAATTGGGCAAATAGTAATTCCATATGTTAGACACTCAGGGAGGAAGAATCCGATCTTGGGTGTTTTAAACGGATAATTGAGAATGAGAATATGATTAATCAACAAATTAAAGAGAGAGCCACATAGAGTTGGACGAGTCAGACCTTCTGCTCCCTATTTCAATAAATATCTCATCGTGTCGTATCTAATTCTTCATCACTCTCATTCTGAACACAAATTTGACCTGTTTTCTATAAAATCACCAGAGATTCTAAGAAAAAAATATATTGTCAACCGAAGGAAGAAATCAAGAATAGTAGAAGAGGGCTAGGGTTCAACTAACAGAGAGAAGGAAGGATGGTGACTTGACAATCTTTCCAGCGGAGTTCCAGAGAGCGGGGTATAGCATTAGAAAGCCTGTTGTAGAAGTTTTAATTTTGTGGGAATTTCTATCCGTCTGATTTGTTAACGGTTGTTCGATTTTGTCAAGATATTCAGCCTACTACTAATTTCATAATCCGATTTGCGATATTTTAACTTCGAATTTCAATTTTGTTTCTTCATAAAAGTTTTAGAATACGCTAAATACTAGTTTTTTCAATTTTAGAACCCTTTCTGAAATTGGTTTTTGACTCTACAGTATTTTCAAAAGCGATCTTTCGAAAATGAAACTTGTTGTTACTCTGGTTTTCGGGACATAATTTGAGAACTTTGTAATTCGAATTTTAAGATTGTTTCTTCTCAAACATCATAGATTATCTAGAGCATGTTAATTATATGTTGAAGCCTGTTCCATTTGATTGAGCCTTATAAGCTTTTTGAACCGAGAAAC